TATAAACCAAGTCCTGATCTGATTCATTTGTACATTTCTGAGGTGTAAATCCTTACACCAAAAATTTAACAATGGGCTTCTCTCAAGTTGCCCCTAACCCACCCTGGCTAGAAAGGATGTCAGAGGCCATTTGGTCCAACTCCCTCATTTTACAGATGAGGGAAGTGGCTCAGGACGGGAAGTGACTAAGCCTAACGTCATAAAGTTATCTAGCCTAGTTAGGTAATCTTTTAAAAAGCCTGTCCTCAGACTTCTAATGGAGTGCTCTTTCTACTCTACAACACTGCCTGAAAGGCTTAAATAATGTCTGTATTTCAAGAAATATAACTGTAATCTTCTTAAGGCCAAAACCCTTTTTGTGTTGTTGTTTTTTTTATCCCTGGTAACTAGTAGTGTCTTTCACACAATAGGCAATCAACAATTGTTTGTTGACTTAAGTTCTCTGTGAAGTCTTTAAAAAAACTCAGTTGATAAGCACTTATTAAGCATCTACTTTGTGTCTGGCACTGTGTTAATTACTGGGGACACAAAGAAAGGCAAAAGTTAGCTCTTCAATTCAAGGAGCTCATAATTCCCTCCTCTCCTTTCCCCACCCCCAAATTCTTAATGCAGGGCACAATTTAACACTTAAAAATGTTTTACTATGATTCTCCAACTAGGTTTCAGGCAGGTTGAAGACAGGACCTATGGGTTATACTACTGTTGCATAGTGGACATAAGAGTTTTATTCAGTAAAACCTTGCTGGTTAGTTGATTTTAAGATATCCTATCTTCCCAATAAATGAATGGTCAAAGAGTATGATCAAAAATCCTCAAAATAGGAATGGTAAACTATAAACAACCATTGGGAAGAATATGATATGAAACAATGTTCCAAATCTCTAATAAGAGAAATGCAGATTAAAATCATTCTGAGGTTTCATCTTAGGCAGAAATTGGCAAAGATAACAAAAGAGGGGGACAACTAATATTAGAGAGAATGTAGAAAGTATCATCGTTGTCAATTTGCTGGGTAAGGTAAAACCTCTGAGTGGTTTTGATTTTACATTTCTCTTATTTGAATTTTGGAGCATTCTTTTCTTTTGTATGATTGTTAATAGTTGGTAATTCCTCTAAAATGTCCCTACCTTTTGACTCAGAAATTCTACTTCTTGGCAAATATCTCATGAAGGTCAATGATAAAAAGAAAATTTCCAAATATGGCCAAAGACTTATAGTAGAAATTGTGGTGAGTGAATGTAATAGAATACTATTGGGATGAAAGAAACAAAGAATATGATAAATACAGAAAAGCATGGAAAGATTTACATGAACTGATGAAAAGTGAAGTAAGTTCAAATAGGAAAAAATAGTATACCCAATGATTACAACAATTTAAATACAAATCATAGCAATAATCAAACAATTGAAACTGAATGACATGGAATTATATGACCAGCCTTGGCTTCAAAGAAGAGATATGAGAAGACATCTCCCTCACTTCTTTTCAGAGGTGGGGGAATAAGGGTGAAGATACAGATAATGCCGGACTTTTAAAAATATACTGTCAATGTGCTCTCCTTGAGAGCAGGAACTGTCTTTTGCCTTTCTGGGTATCCCAGACTTAGTTCAGCACTGTGCCTGGCACATAGTAGGCACTTAAATGCTTGTTGACTCGATCTGTTGGTTAGTTTGATTGGATTTTTTTTTAAATTTGTCATAATGGATAGCTTTCTGGGAGGAGGATGGGAGAAGGGATGCATTAAAAAATGTAGGTGATGAAAGAACAAAGACATCAATAAAAAAATATTTTTCAAAATAAGATAATTCTGTGAATAGGCATCTGTCCTTCCATGGTAGAACTGGGCTAGCAATGTCTGCATGATTCCAAATATACAGTGCGGAAGTATGACAGAGAAGGGTCATTGTGTAGCTTATCAACATGTTTTTCTTTCTATAAATTTTTAAAAATTGTTTTTGATATCTTTTGTTTGAACATCACCTTCATTTCCCAATATAATCCTTCCCTTACCTCCTTCCAGGGAGCCATCCTTTATGACAAGTCAGTCAGTCAATAAGCATTTATTAAGCACTTACTATGTGCCAACAAAAGAAGAAAGAGAAGTGGGGAAAGGCAGTTCAGCCAAACTAACCAACTGACTAAATCACCCACAATCCGGGATCCATTTCTGCAAAGAAGTAGGAGAGCTAAGTTCTCATCTCTTCTCCCCAGGACAACCTCAGTCATTATAATTAAGTACCATTCAGTTTTGTTTTCATCGTAGTTGTTTCCTTTTACAATGGTGCAGTTATTGGGTATATTGTCTTCTTAGCTCATATTACCTTACTTTTGGTTCTTTAAAACAACAAAATCACATCAACATGATTTAGTTAGTAGATATGCAATACCTGTATGTGTATTATTTTTTTGTTTATAGAATCAGACTTAGAGAACATTTAGGACAACCCCTTCATTTTATAGATGAGGAATCTGAGATTGAGGGAAGTTAAGTGACATGCCCCAGGTCATGTGAGTAGTCATAGTGGCAATATTTGAATCCAAGTCCTCTGACTCTGATGCCAGTGTCCTTTCCACTGTACCATGCTGTATATATACTCATGATAGCTTAGCCTAATGAAAAGAGTGGGAATTCAAAGACTGGGGCTCTATTTCAGAGCACATAACCTAATCTCTTTTTTTTCCCATCTGTAAAATGAGGATAATTATATCTGTTCTTACCTACTGCTACACAGAGATGTTGTGAAGATAATATATATTAAAGTGCTTTGAAGTCTTGGGAGGAAAGGAACTAAGTGTATCTCAGCCACCAATAGCAGCAGGTCACACAGTGAGGCATCATCTTAAAGATATACAGTTCTTTAAGTAAATCATACCATGGTCAGAAAAATAAGTTCATTCTTTTCTTCATGTTCAATCTGTAGGAATGAAGGGAAGGAAAATCTCATCCTGTGCCTCCTTTCCCCTAGACTTCCCTTTGCGTTATGAGACTGTGAGGTCCTGGAGAGCTGGGGCTGTCACCTTACTTTACATCCCCAGATCTTAGTACAGTGCCTGGTACATAGTAGGTAATAATTGCTTATTTCTTTCCTTCCTTTTTCCTAACTGGGGTAGCTAAGTTTCAATCTATCCAATTACCTCCAGGAAATTAGATTCCTTCATATCCGGGGATAAATCACTTTTATAAACTGTTTATTGACTTCTGACCAACCTTTAGGAAGAAAAAAGTATTGATCCAAATTTAGGAGCCTAGATTAAAAAGAGAATAAGCCATCTTCTACTATAAATCTGGCTCTGGGGTGACCTTTAGCAGAAGCTGGCTCCTCCTGTTGTCGATCAAAAAATATTTATCATACAACTAGTATGTTCCAGGCACTGTACCAAGCACTGGGGTAAATAAGAGGCAAAAAAAAGTCCCTGCCCTCAAGTCACTGACAATCTAACTGGGAGACAAGCAACCAAATATGCACAAATAAGCTATATACACAGTAAAAAAGAAATAATTACAAGAGGTTAAGCACTATATACCTCAGTGGGGATGAAGCCTCAAGGCCACACATGGCCCTCAAGGTCCTCAAGTTTGGCCCTTGGACTAAACCCAACCTTCACAGATCAAATCCTCTTAATAAAAAGATTTGTTCTGATTCAGTCAAAAGGCTGCACCCAAGGACCTAGAAGGCCATATGTGGCCTTGAGGCTGAAGGTTCCCCACTCCTGCAAGAGGTTGGAAAAGGCTTCCTGTTGATTTTAGTTGGGACTTAAAGAAATCCAGGGAAGCTGGTAGGCAGAGATGAGGAAGGAAGAGTTATTCCAGGTATGGGGAAAGGCAGAGAAAATGCCCGAAGCCAGAAACAGTGTCACTAGATGTAAGCCAGTGTCACTAAATGGAAGACTGTATGGAGAGGAGTAAGGTGAAAAAGACTGGAAAGGTAGGAGAGGGCTTGGTTATGGAGGTCTTTGAATGCCAGAGAGAGGACTTTATATTTGATTCTGAACGCCAGGGGAAATCCCTAAAGTTGATTGATCGGTGGTGGTGGTGGTGCTGGTGGTGGTGGTGGTGCTGGTGTGACTAGGTAGGACCTGCACTTTAGGAATATCACTTGGGTGGCTGAGTGGATTGGAGTGGGAAGGTACTTGAAGCTGGTAGACCCATTAGCATCTAAAAAAACATGGTAGCTTGTATCTAGGAAATTCCTAGAGCTGCCAGTATGCTATAAAATAACTCTATTCACCAATGTTAAGAGGACTGCTCATCTCAGCCCTACTCTGGTATATGTCAATTTTTTGGGTCAGTCAAAAAAAGCACTTATTACTTACTACTACTGGATGCCAGGCACTATGTGGATAAGACCCAAAAGTGCAACAATGAATTTCTGTGCCCCATCCGAGTTTCAGAAGGTACACCATTCTAGTCCCCTTTCCCTGACCACAATCTCAAAACAGCACATACCAGGCAATTAAAAATTAAAACTAAACAACCTTCTGGCCGGTCAACATTTATTGACTGCCACCATGTGCACATATGGAAGACGCTAACCAAAAGTGCCCAATAGTGAGTCATGGCAGAGCTGAGGGATGGCTCTTTTCCTCGTCTCTGTAATCCACTACTTAATCCTTAATTCATGCCATGGGATGCTTATTCCGAAAAGTCCTTGGGTTGAGCAATCCCAAGCAGAATCGTTCTGTTTTGAAGTTGACACGATTGCCTCTGTACTAAAGCCTATTTGCCCATTCATTTGCGCATCACCTCCCCGCCTCCTTCTCTTGCGCTGGATGGGGAGTCGGTGTAACAGGTGTGTTCAAGGGGCCACCCAAAACAAAGAATACAGAAAGCTGCTTCCTTGGCTGGGAAGCAATTGAGCCTGTTTGCCAGATTCCCTCCTCGTCCCGCCCCCGTCATCCCCGCATTGTCTTGGTCGGAACTCTACACTTTCGGGGCTGCGTGGGAGGTCGTACCTTTCACGTTTCTTGTTTTTAACCCCCCCAGATGCCGCTCGTATACCTGCATAGATCCAAGATCCTCCACCCCAGGTGTGTATTTGTGCGTATGCGTGCGCGTGTGCGTGTACGCCTGTGTGCGTATGCGTGCGCGTGATAGCTTGGGAAGTAAATGGGTGGGAAGGAAAGATTGGGGGTGGGGGTGTGGCCCCAGGAATACTGCAAGGGCTCTAGGAACTAACTGGTTTATATTAAAATAGTGTGCCACGTTTCCTTCTCGCTGACCAATGCAGTCACTCTCCCCCCGCCCCCCAGTTTCCTGGGGGCCGGACAGTTTAAGACCGCCCAGCAAGGCTGGAATTAGACTCCCATCTCGCTCCTTAGGGCGGCTCCCGAGCGTCCTCCCACTCTCCAAACTTAGGAGCGTAGCAGATCAGCTCCTGGGCTCTGCAGGAAGAGGGGCTGGTCCGTCCCGTTGATGGTCCCCAGGCATTCCAGGGTCTCCTGGCCATCTGTCCGAAGGCATTGTCTTGTCTCGCTTCCACCTCTGCCTTTTTCATTCTTTTGCCTTTGCATCGCTGAGTCCTTCTGCAAACAGCCTTCTTCCAAATCTATATTGGGATCTTCACCCTAAAGCCTTTAGCGTAGAGCTTCTCCCTACCACTCCAAGACACGGAGCGGGGGTGGCGGTGTCTCTGAACCGGGCCCTCCAGACACGCTGGAGTCCTTCAAGACTCAGTTTAAAGATGCTTCCTCACCGTTCCTAGTGTCTTCTCTCTGAAATCACCTCCCATTTACACAATATATATCTTGCATAAATGTAGTGATTTGCATGTTGTCTCCCATATTAAAATGTGATCTTGCACGTCTTTGCTTTTCTTTGTATCCCCTGTTACAGAGCCTGGCACACACTTGTTGACTGAGGAGCATGTCAGAGTCCTTCAATACTCAGCTCATATCTCATCTTATACGACGGGCCACCCCCTGATTCTCACTCCCTACTGCTAGTGATTTCCCCTAAGATTACCTCCCAGTGTATATATCTTGTTTGTACGTAATTATTATTGTCTCAAATCCCATCTTCTGCAAGAGGCCTTTCTGGGTCCCTCCTGCTGATGTCTTTCCAATGGGATTACATTCCGTCTATTCTGTAAATATTGAGTGCCTACATGGTCTTTTGCATGTTTTTCTGCCATTACAGTGTGAGCTCCTTGAGATCTCTTGGCTTTTCTTTGTCTCTTTAGGGCTTAGCCCAGTGCCTGGCACACAGGAAGAGCTTAATGAATGCTTGTTGACTAAGGGTTGTCAGAGGCCTTCTAGACTTTCCCAGTTCCCCCCTCCCCCAATACCTGGCATATATATATATACACACACACACACACATATGTATATATATACATATATATGTATATACTGCCCCCATTACATTGTATATATCTTGTATGTACATAGTTGTTTGCATGTAGTCCTCATTAGAAAGTGAACTTCTTGAGGCCAGGGACCCCTGTTTATGCCTTCCTTTGTATCCCTGGCGCTTAGCACGTAGTTAGCACTTAATAAATGTTCTTTGACTAGCCTGCTTTAAAATTCTCGCCCTGAACTGGGTTCAGGGTTCAGACTCTTTGAAATCACCTATGCATCCTAAGATTAGCCGGGTTGGGTAAACTGCACCCTCCAGGACCCATCCAATTTTCTTCCCTGTAGACGGAAGGGCAGAAGCCTGCGCTGCTGGAGGGGTGGGCAGCAGGGGCAGCAGTAGCAGCTGCAGCAGTAGGCTAGTTGCACCCCCGCCCCACGGCCGCGCTGGGCGCCGAGGGGAGGCGCTGTGTGCTCACGGCCAGGAGGGGCTGGGCTCCCGGCTCTTGGTGCCCCGGGGCTGGGGCTGCTGCTGTTTCTCCGCTGCCTCCTCCCCTCTCCCTTCTTCTTGGTTGGGAAAGTGGGAGGTGGCGCGCGCGCGGGCGTGTGTATGTGTGTGTGTGGGGAGGGGGGTGCAGGGGGCGCAGCAGAGTCTCCACTGTGCCACCGCGTCGTCAGAGACAGACAGACAGACACACACCCACAGAGGCAGCGGGGCTGGGGCGGCATCGGCTGCATCTGCTGTTGCCGTCGCACCCCCCTTCCGTCTGCTGCTGCTGCAGTGCCCGCGAACAAAGAGGAGGAGGCAGCTCCAGACCGGGAGCAGGGGGCCCCTGGACCCTGGCTCCTCTAGCCCTTCTTGGTCACGGAGGAGCCACGCAGGAAGGAGATGGTGGGTGCCCTCTCTCTTGTTCTCTCCCAGCCTCGTTCCCTTTCCCTCTCCCGCTCTTTCCCAAGCCTCGCTCTCTCTTTCGCCGGGTGCGGGGCGGAGATGTCTCTCCTTTCCGGGAAAGCAGGAGAGCCGGCTCGCTTTGCAGGCTGGGTCCCTGTGGGTGCCTGGGGATCCAGGAGGGAATTGCCGAGGTCCAGGATTTGCAGCAGGGCTTCTGTGGCCCGGACGCCAGGCTTGGGGACAGGATCCTCCCCAGGCTTGACTAGCTTTTACGCGATAACCAGGACCCCTCCACCACCCAGAGAAATCTATTTCTGTGGGGACTGGTATCTCTTTATTTCTCCCGCCCCTTTTTCTAATAGGTTTTTCTTGTTTTGCCTATCTCCCCTCAACCCCCCCCCCACTCCCGAGCTTAGTTTCGCAACTTAAGGCTACGCATTTATTTTTTAAGTCCTTGAAAACTTCCAGAGATCTCTGTAGCGCGCGTGTGCGTGTGTGTTGTGTGTATGTGGTGTGTGTGTGTGTGTGTGTGTGTGCTGCCCCAACCGAAAGGCGCGAGCACAGTGGATTCTATTTAATAAAACCCACATTCCGTGACTAGTTTCCTCTTTACCCACTTCTCCCATTCCCTTGCCTTGGCTGCGTTAGCCCTTGACCTTTCCCACTTGGAAGTGGCCACGCTGTGCCCCAAACACCTTGCTGTGGGCTGTGTCTGGAGAGAGAAAGAAACAGAGAGAGACAGAGATATGGGTGGGTTGCCTCTGTATAGTATGTCTCTCCTATATTGAGTCAGAGTTAATAATCTGTAGAGATTGCCTTTTTTTGGCGTGAGGGAAGTGAGGGGATGGAAGTGGGTAATGACTTTTTTACTGAGTGGTCAAATTTCCTATTCTGCCCCCAGCTTTCTAGGCAAAGATTTCCTATTGTCAGATTCACAATTATTTTTGCCTGTTGCCTTGAATGGAATTAGGGCAGGCAGTTTAGACAAACAAACAAAAAAAATCTGTGTTCTTGAGAGTTTGTGAATGACTGCTCAGGAGGTGGAGATTGGTGTAAATTACGGCTGCTTTTATATTTTAGAAACTTTCAAGCCAGTCTTTTTAGGGATATCTTTGGAATTTGGTCTTAGAATCCAGAGTTAGAAGGTCTCTTATAATCAGCTAAATTCCGGCCCTTTATTTTACAGTATTGACTTTGCATTCTTTTTTATAAGAAATATTACAAAATTTCATTTTTGACCAGATAAGAAACAATTGATTTGCAGAGTTGCATATTGGCTAAAGGTTTTACTGGTGTTGGATTCACTAGGACCTGGGTTCAAGTCCAGTCTCTGATACATGCTGTCTGTGCTCCTAAAGCAAGTTACATAGCTTCTCAGTATACCAGGCAAACCTCTAAGACTAAAAGTTACAGACAAGTGGCAGATCTGAATCAGGGGAGGGAGTTCCATCTTGGGAGTTCCCTTACTCATGAAATCACAGCCCCAGACTTAAAAAAAGAAACATATCTGATACTGGAGCCAGTTTGCCACAAGTGATCACAGGCAGCAGAATTTATTAAACTCTAAAGTGGTTTGAAAATTGGAGCTTTGTTGGATGTTAATAGTAATTTAAGGTAAAGAAAACTTTGAATTGGCTTCTGTTTAGCTTTGCATTTGAGCCAAGTACAGCAGTTAATAGCACTCTGATGGTCAAAGAAATTATCTTTATTTCATTTCATAAATTGCATTTATTACAGAAATCCTTCTGTAATAAGCACTTAATGGCTATTACAAAACAGTGTACTTCTAAATAGCTTTAGGGATTATTTTTGAATTATGTAGAAATATTTTAAAAATGATTGCCTCACCAGTGTAGCAGGCTCTATTAAAAATATTTATGAATGTTTTGGTTCTTGGCCCTTCTTCTGTAGATCCATGTTGCCCAAGTTGAAAGGGACTTAAGAGATCATCTGATTTGATGCTCTTATTTTGCAGATGAGGAAACTGAGGCTAAGGAAAGTCAATGAGGTTCCCAAGACCACAAAGTGATTTATTAATTTTAAATTAAACTAATAATATAGTGACTTACCATAATTTAAAGTCAACTTCTTTTATTCAGTTAAATTTCTTAAAAAGTAAACACTTGATTAGTGAAAGAAAGTAAACTTGTTAGAGCTAAGACATAAGCCCAGGTCTCTGGATCATAGTGTTCTTTCTACTATGCTATGATGCTTATCGATGAACTCATTTTTACATTATTTCTCCAGATCACAACATTAATTATGTATTTTTCTTTTTTCTCTGCCCACGAATTCCAGAGGAGAATCTGAACAGGCATGGATGTTACATGAATCACTTTAAGGGAGGTGAACAACTATGAAGGCTTTTTTCTCAGTAAATTAGATAAAGATGGATGAATCTGCCTTGTTGGATCTGTTGGAATGTCCTGTGTGTTTAGAACGACTTGATGCCTCTGCAAAGGTCTTGCCTTGCCAGCACACGTTTTGCAAACGCTGTTTGCTGGGGATTGTTGGTTCTCGAAATGAACTGAGATGTCCAGAATGCAGGACTTTAGTGGGCTGCGGAGTTGAGGAGCTACCCAGTAACATCCTGTTGGTTAGGCTGTTGGATGGAATCAAGCAGAGACCTCGGAAATCAGGCACCAGTGTCGGGATCACCTGCACAAATGCTCTAAGGGCCCAGGGCAGTGCTGTTGGGAATTGTAATTCGAAAGATCCGCAAGGGTCCCAAAGTGGACAGCAACGTGTGCAGGCCAGGAGCCCCCCAGTCCGAGTAAGTAGCCAAGAAACAACTAGTTGGTGAATCACATTAAGTGCATGGAGGACTGGATTTCTCTCTTTACTTCCATTTATTCATTACCAGTACTTAAG